GGCGGACCGCCGCAAAATAGTTAAAAAAAAAAAGAAAAAAAGAAAAACTGGGAGCAAAATTTGTTGAAACCTGGGAGAAAATGGGACTATTGACGAAATTTATTGAGCAAAAAAGCCTGGGAGCAAATGAGAGCCAAAAAAACCTAGGTACTTGAATCATTCACAACAAATGGGATCAAATAGTTTTAATATACACAATATATATCCAAACATAAACATCCATCAACAAGTGGCAAGTCCACCAAACATTAAGTTGAGCAAAAAAATTTTGAATAAACATTAAATTTAGCCATCACTACCAGAAGAAGCTGCCTCGCCGTTGTCGCTCGAAGTCACTGCCGCCAGCCAGCTCGCCGCTCGCAGGTCGCAGCCGCCGCTGCCTTGGTGCTCGCCGCCGCTCGCAAGTCGCCGCACACCAGTCGGTCTACAGAGGCTTGCCGCAGTTCCACTTGAGAGAATGCGAGTTGAAAGGTTAAGGGCTTGCTTGTATACAAATTATTTTACTCACTTTTATTTCAATTCAAATTTAACTTTTATTTCAATTCAAAATTTAACTAACTTTAACTAACTCCACTATCTTTAATATTATTCATATAATTAAATAATACAAATCAATCATTGTTACAGATCACACCAACTTTAATTCACTATCATCCACTCACATAATTTTAACTACCTATCATTTTCAATTATTTCCAATCATTTATCTCTTACTTTTACGTCAAATCAACTTTAATCATTTTATTTTAAAAATTATTTTAATACATTCTTATAATTCCACTACAACTAACTATACCATTTTTTTCAAAATGAACTATGGTTAACCAAAATAATTTAATTTGAACAAATTATTTCATAAACAATCAAGCCCTAAGAGCATCCATAATGTTTTGGATTCAATTAAAAAATTTGAATGCCACCTCGGAAATAGATTCAGTCTAAGAAAATATATTCTCCAATGCAAGTGTAAGTGGACTACGTCTTGTTGATGTGGCAGCCAGAAAAAGAGACCCCCGATCTAACCTTAAGTCTATTTTAGACCAAAGTAGAGACCTAGTCTCCTTGCATTGGAATAGATTTTGTTAATTTTATATATTTTTGTTCATGTCATCCAAGACTTAGGTTCATTTACATTCCACATAGACAAAACTAGACCTAAAGCATTGCAGATGCTCTAAGGAGTGTTTGGATATAAATCCTAAGTCAAATATTCCACTTTTATGGGATGATTAGATATGATTTCAACTAGTAAAAAACTAGTTTTTTTTAACTATAGTTATGTTTGAAAAAAGTTGATATGGTTAGTTGTTATTGGATATATTAAAATAATATTTAAAATAAAATGTTTAAAGTTGATTTGATGTAAAGTAAGAGAAAAACGATTGGGAGTGATGATTAGTTAAAATTATGTAAGTGGATGAATAGTAAATTAAAGTTGATGTGATGTGTAAGAATGATTGGTTGATATTATTTAATTATATTGATAACATTGGAGACAGTGGAGTTGAGTTAAATTTTAGTTTGAATATGATTTTTACTGTAGAATCGGTAAACATTCGATAAACTATAGATTTGGTTGATATTATTTAAATATATTGATTGGTTGAAATTTTTAATGACTTGGTTGTTGACGAGCGTTTTCGGTCAACGGTTAAAATAAAGAATGTCGAAAGTAAAAGACTGAAATGAGAGGATGATTCGGCCTAATTACGACTTTATTAAACGATCACGAGGTCGGCCTCTCGTACGAGGTCGGCACTTGCGATATACTTACAATCCTTACAACGAGTTTTTTACAGTATTTAGAGAGAGAAAGTAGAGAGAAGGCAGAGTTAGTTGGATTTCAACAACCCAAAATAAGTGAAATGAGCTGCTATTTATAGTAGTCTTTAATGTGGCACTATTCAGCTACTGTTCACCGGTCTTGTCGCACAGTGATTCGAAAAGCAGTCCGGCGTCCGTCTGACGAGTATTTAATGCGATTTGAGGTTTCTTCAATCATTACCTGTCAGGCATTAAATGCCAGCATGGGGGGCATTTAATGCTGGTTGACTTTATTGATTTAGGCTTACTGGTAGGGTGCTAGGCCATGATTACTTGTCCCATCGTCCAATGATGACCTCCCAAGTGGGAATATTTTAATGCTCATTGAGGCCCGCGCTTTCCCTCTGGTCGGCCTCCTCGGATTTTCAGGGCGGCATCTCATTCGTAGATGTTCACGAGACTACGAATAGTCTTCTTCCTGTCCGACACCCCTCCAGGTCGGCAGCTGTCCGGGCTGATACGGGCGCCGGGCTGGGAAAACGTTCCCACGGCGGTTTCCCACACCTCTAATCCGCGGTCCAGCTCGGCACTTTCTCACCAGGCCGGGTTCTCGTCTCGATCCGGAGGGGCTGAGTATCCGGTCCAGTCTGGGCCAACTCGGCTGTCAACATACAGGCCCCCGGGCTCGGGTAAGAGGTTTTTTCATCTAATCCGAGGCCGTCACTCTAATGTTCAGTCCCGAGTTTGCCGACTTTCACACCGACGTTTCCGATTCCCTTGAATCACACTTTCCCTGTTTCGGGTACATTGATGACGCGAGCTGAAGCGACGCGTCCATCAATGCGATGTGGTCGTTCCCCTTCTTGTCGGCCATGAAAAGTCGTGCCGTTTCAGGGCCCTTTACACGTGTCCCCGTCTGATTGGCCCGCGTGGCGCGTCGCGTTACTTCAGTGGAAAGGGCGGTTACTCTGCCGCGTGGCCTCTACGCGCCCATTTGCGAACCGTCGGATGGCTTTAATCGCGACCGTTCAATCTGGATTGTTGTTTATTTAATTTTTTTGAATTTCAAACGGTGCCACGTGGCCTTCCCTGATTGGGCCGAAGTTCATATATATATCCACCATCGTCTTCCTCCACAAGTTTTACCTTCTGCAACTTCTCAAAAGCACCTTCGAGCAACCGGCTACAGTTTTCGAACATCCTCAGAGTCCTTCGCAGACCGACATTTCAAAGCTTCCCACCGGTAATTCGACTGTTCTCTTCATCGTTTTTCCTTTTTCTTTTTCAATATGTTGAATCTTTCGAACTCCGCGGCGTCCTCCGGCGAGGGGGAGAGGCAAACAGCGGAGGAGACCGGTGAGATCGTGGTTTACTCTCCGCCGGCGACGGAGGCGGCGCAACCCCTCCGGGTTACGCCGATTACGGCTGTTCGCGTGACTCGGCCGTCGGCGGCGGCGGCTGACCCGCTAGGGGAGATGCCCTCACAGATCCC